CCCCTCCTGAACCCATTTTTTCTGCTGATAAAAATAAATAAAAAGGGCTATTGAAAATAAATTAGTTATTTACTATACTTTAGTAATCTAAAATGAATTGTCAAAGAGAATGAATGAGTGGGAAGAAACTGAAACAGCTTCTGTCTTTAAGCTCTTTGTCTGTTCTCCCTCATGTAGCCCCTAAACATTCCCATATGGCAGATGTCAAGCTTTATGTTGAAATGATCCTCTCTCTGGACGATCATGCTCAGATAGGATAATTAGACCCTCCCTAAACAAGAGGACCTGAAACCCTCCTGTCAGCAAGCATCTGTCCTTCTGAAAGGAGCCTAAGCAGAACCCCTCTTTTTTGCTTTTCTGAAATTCCTGCAAAGGAGCAGCTCGAGAGGATCATTTCCTTACACAATTGACTCAGGTGATTCATAGTTTCCATTAAAATCTTTGCAGCATTGTACAAATCTAAAATGTGTTTTGTATTACATCTCTACAGTTCAAATCAGGGGGCGACTTGGCAGATGCTAACTCTTCATCCCCCACCAACTGGGAGTTTCTGTGTGAATCTGAGGCTGGAAAGGGGAGATTGTTCTTGGAGAGACTTTTTTCTATGACTCAGCTGGACAGGAGTAAGCCTCTCTTTACGAAGCAAAATAACAAAACAATGAATTTACCATGAAAGGAGGTTTTCAGTCTCAGCTGAGACTTCCAATAACCATCAAGAGTAACACTCCTTCATTTCCAACTGAGGAGAGCTGTTGCATTTAAGAGGGGACAGGAGAAAGGAGCACACAAGAGTACAGCTGTGTAAAGGAAGGGGTGGGGGGACATAAGAGAACATTTGATTTAGTCCCGCGACTCTAGGCCTTCTCCGCATTGGCTGGCAGGGATCCAAGTCTACTCAATGAACTCCAACTGTATTGTCTTTGTTAATAAGCGAAGTTGAAGGTAAGCTGAGAATACTGGAACAGGCTCAGAGTTTGATTATGTAAAGTAAACTGATACAATACAATCAGGAACTAGCACAGAGAGAGAACAGAGATCTGAAAGAGGAAGGGGATCCACTGGTGAGGAGTAAGCAGAACAGGAGGTCATCTGATAAGAAATAAGATCAGGGAAAGAGTCTTCCAGACTTCGACTCGCACATTGATTGAAACACTCTTCCTGTCTCTTGCAAACTCCTGAATTGTTTGTAGTAAATTGGATATTTCCTGTTTGTTATCTGGTTCCTGCATACAATACATGTACCCGTTTCTATCACTATGTGTGTTATTATGTGTCTTACTTTTTCCTCGTAGTTAATTGACTGAAAACGTTTTTGGAAGAGGAAACTGTTTGAGGACTTGAGTCGCCAGTCTTTTTTGTGGATATAGGAGGCCTACAAATAGACAACTGTCCTGACATTTGGTACAGACATTTAAGAATCCTGCTGAATATTCCTGTAGTGCTTCCAGAACACCAAGACAAGTCACCACTTAACCTGCAATATCTAAAAATCGACTTAATGGAATTTCTCATGAATAGTCATGGTTCCCACACAGAGAATCCTAATGACTTTGGTGATCCCCTGACCTTTCCTCTACTGCCACCCTGAGGTTTACATTTGCTGTTTTGAGTAAAATGTCTCAACAACAGAGGGATGGATTGCCATACAATTTGCTGTAGTTATCTCCCCTTAAGGCTAAATTGCATTTGCTGATCCCCTGACTCTCTATGAAGCATCATAATCATGTCAACATTGTGTATCTACTTTTTGTAGGTAAAAGATTTGTTAGTCAGTGTTAGCAATCTAAATCTGGAGTATTTTAGCACGACGATGTCAATAATTAACTTGAAGCACCACTGTATCTAAGTACAGCCTTGTTGATGGCATTGCTTCAGAGGCTAACATTGTATTGTTGTGTGTAGAACGCATATTGCTATACCAGCCTGAGGTACATTTGACCCATATAAAGTATTGAATGCAGATATAGGTGTTGAAGTTTGCTTGCATCTGAAATGTTGCAACCTCTATAAATCTTTCCAAGAGAGTTTGCATGACATCAGCTATAAGGTACATGTTTGTCATTGTTTCCCAAAAGCACACATGCATTCCAGAAATGGCCTCTGCTCAGTTTAATGATCAAGGGAAGAATGCAACCCTTGGCAGGGGAATTAATCTTACTCAATGTTGTGGTATGTAGCGTCCTAGCTCTCTGTTAGTGCAGTTTGAGGTCCGCATAGAAATCAAGAAAAGAAAACTAACTCTCACTACAAAGATAAATGGCCTAAATTCTGTACCTGGTTAATAAAATGAAGTTGTACTTCCTGGGATCTTCTGAAAGTGGGGAGGTGTATTGTCTTGTGTGGATGAGTAAAGTGATTTTCTTTGGAATCCAGATGACTAAGCTTTGCCTGTGTTTGCAGTATTCCTCGCAGGTAAGATTCAATTACTCTGTGTGAAGGACAGAACATTATCTAGTAAAAAGCTTTGAAAGGAAATCCTGCTTACAGTGTGTCCAGCCAGTTATTTTCGCACAAGATAAAGAAACTGGCTGCAAAATGCCAGCAGAGACACAAGGAATCTGAGGAGGACAGAGGGACCTCTGTTAGACTCATGCATTTTCCATGATCACATTACAGTACGCTCTGCTTCAGTGAGTAAATGGACAACACTCATATTGTTGCATAGTGAATGTTTCTGGGGTTGTTCTCTGTTTACACAAATCCACTGGTTGAATATTAAACAGCAACTCAGCATTAAGCACAGATAACGACAGGGTGAGAAAAAAGCATCTGGTAACCAAGAATGTCCTTTTATCAGTGTACCAACAGATTCTGGATGTAACTGGATCCGCATTCATTTTTTTTTACATCTAGTCTACATCTAATGTGTTTTTCCTTGTCATATTTCCACAGCTATTTCCTTTTTGTTGCAGTCAAAAGTTTAAAGAGGTAACTTTGTCCCTTAGTCCCTTTATGTTTTACTGGTATCCTGACAGCTCATTCCTTTGACTTACCCCCCCTACTTACTTTTCAACAAAGAGCATCTCGATGATGAGATTATTTCCAGCTCAAATTTAAGATGACCTTTTATGCTGCTGGAAATTGATCAATATTGTCACTTCATCACATGTTTAGAAACCCTTCAGCTTGAGAAGAAACATCCCGTACTAAAGCTGCCATTTTATACACCATAGCTATTTTGTGACTCACTTGTGTAAATATCTGAGTACCAGTAATCCAAATTAGCTGGAAACGCCGGCAAGGCTTTCTGAGGTTATTCCCTGTATGACTGTGGACACCAACAGGAACATGAAACTGATAGCTATCCCATTGCAAGCTTTATAACATTTATTAGCAAAACACACTTGAGGATTAGAGTTCTGTTTGGCAGCACTCTTTGTTTCATTTTGAGTTCCTTTGTTTTTCTTTGCTGGGAAAAAACAAACCGTTGTTTAAGAGATTAAAGCTAACTATTGGCATGTGTCCAATAACTATTTATTGGAATTCTGAAACCCACCCCCTGGGTCTGATTTACTGGTTGCCCAAGCCTCTGGGAGTTAGATTGCAGAACAGTGCATGTATTGCCTGTGTTTAGTTTTTGTGAGTAGGGAGGGTTTCAGTAACACGACTGGAATCTCAATGCTTGTTTTCTTAACTGAAGCGCCCTGCTTGTCTTTCACGACATCCCCTGGTGAATATCTTCTCCTATCATCCCCTCCTGCTCCCATCTGATGGACTGCTCAAACAAACTTTGACCCTCGCTGGATTGAAAACGTCTTACTGTGTGCAGCTGTTTATTCTCAGCATTCCCACTTTGCCAATTTCAACTATACAAACACATTGTTCTGGTTCCAATTCATTATTTCTGTGGGTCACAAGGGCCAAGGGAGGATGTGATTATCCTTAACCTCCCTACAAAATCTGTGTCTGCCTCTAGATTTGTGATTTACTGTTGAAGATGTGTCTTCTACAAATTCATCACGCTTACTCATCATTAGCATTCCTACATCCTTCCCATCAGGGTTAACCTTTTCCCCATTTCAAGGAACTCATAACCTGGAATATCCCGCAGTTCTGAAATCTGAAACATCTAAAAACAGGATGTGACTGCATGCATGCTGTTTAGAAATGGAAATTCCACTTATTTTTACTGCTTCCTGTGAAAGTGAAAGAAATAATGTATTTATGAAACAAGCCAGTATGTTAACACTAAGAAGAACATATTTCATTTCGGAATCAAAAAGTATCCATAAATGATGTAAACATGTCAGATTTTGGTAAGAAAAACATTCTTTAACGATTCAAAATATGAATCACTTTGCTGGGAGGGCTGCAGAGATTCCTTTTGTCTCGCATGTGGGTGTGAATCTCTGCTCCGGTGACCTTAAGGAGTTTGGGCATAATTCATCCTTATGCGTACAAAAAATGTGGACAGTTTAGCTTGAATAAGAAGCAGCATTATGCTATTCCTGACATCAAATCTGTTCTTATTTCGAATGAAAGCAGCAGGATTTTTGCATTATTATTCAAGGGGGTCTTATATGTGAAATGTGTAAACACAACAGTAAAACATTTCTATAATTTCAATTATAATAATTTGAAACCAGTAAAAAAACATAATTTAGTTATGATCATTGAACAGAGATATTTTCCGTTTCAAACCTACTTACAAACAGATTTGCTGCTGAGCCATTATGTATATTGGGAGTGTAAAGCAGCTCAAATGTATTATCCCCTGAAGCCTATTATGTTTTGTGCACAAGGAGCTACACAAAGAATCTTAAATGGTCTAAATCTCTAAATCCACCCAATCTCAATTTAATGTGATATTCTCAGATTGTGTCAATTATATGTTATAAAATACAAACATCAATCTATGTAAATGTGCTAAAAACAACATAGCAGCAGAACAACTATAGGCTAAGTAACATCGCCTGACTCCCACACAAACCACCAGCGACCGTACAGAAATAGAGAGGGAGAAAGGGAGAGAGAGAGAGAGAGGAAGAGAGAGAGTATACCTACCAGTGTGCTGGCTGTGTTCCTCTCTCTGCTCTCTCCTCTGAATGTACTTCATTGGTTTATTACGGACCAGACACAGCAGCCCAGGAGAGAAGCCGAGCAGAGCTGGGATAAACGACAGAAGGGACATTTTTAAAATCCAATGAGTAAACAACGGAAATGAGTGAGAGTACATCATTTATTCGAATCTTCGTGGGGGTCCTGCTCAGTGCGACAGGTAGGTCTCCACAATGCTCAGAAGGCTACTAATATATGATATTGTTACCTTTATTTTTGTACTGTTATTAAACACAGGGACTATTTAATGGTTAACCATGAACTGTAGCTTGTATTCAATAGGCTCCGAAAACGTTGTAAACGAGCAAATGCTATAATAAACCAAGCGCCAACAATAACATGTAAAATAGGTAAAAGTGTGAGGTGTAAGTGATGGGTGCACAATTTAGTTTTAACCAGAAGGGGGCGGTATATAGAAAGGGACTGCAAGCGCATTGTGCACGGAGGGCAAACAAAGAGCTTCACATTGGGAATTTTAATCTGAGACTCTTTTAGAATAATACCTTTCAAAGAACTTTAAAAGCCTTTGACCAGCCGTCCCAAACAAAGGTTTATGGAATATAAATATCTTAAAATCCGCCCCCTTACTTAATTTGTTCAAATGAAAAGTGTTTATAAGCCTATTTATGTAACAGTGTTGCTCAATGTACTGGCATTGACTAAAGCTACACATCTCCAAGGAGAGCTGAAAAACAGCCAACATTTATTTCGCAGTTCTTCTGAATGTACACCAAAGTGAGATCTTGAAAAGATTTAGAAGAGGCTGAGGATACAGAGAGCTTGTCTCAATAATTAATTACCTGAATTTTAAATGGCTTGAGTCCACAAATACAATTTCTCTAACGTTTGGTGTTTGACAACTGTTAGTTTTTTGTTAATAAAATTGTTTTAAAACAGTATTTAAAAGTAACGGGCGTTTGGTGGCTAATTGGGAAAGTTGGGGAAAGCACCTGCCCATTCTTTGATGGTTTCTACTCAAACTAAAAGTGAAACTCGTTTTCATTCTACATATTTCCAACTTCAAATTCTCCAAAGAAACAACACCTTCCTGGATATCTAATCTGTATCCAGGATGTGTCATTAAACACCCCTGCACTGTTTCGTCTATATCTTCTCATTCAATCACAGTTATTAATGGAGAAATCCACAGCGCCCTAAAACCTTGTTTGATACATTCAAGTTAAGGGAAATGCCTCGGTAATTGAAACACTTAGGTTTATTTTTTACAACATTTAGCTGCTATTGTTGAAGCACATTGTGCATGCACTCAAAAACAAACTAAGCTGTTGTTGATGCATTTTAATCACCTTACATACAACAAACAAAGGGAAAAAATGCAAGGAAATGTTTCTCTTGTGACAATTATGTGAATGTGCTACAATATGTCCCAAGCTGCAGGTGTATTTACCTCCTGTCCCATTGAGTTGAGCCCCCCCAGTGTTGTGGTGAGATATGGAGACTCGGTGTCAGTCAACTGCAGCACATCGGAGAGCCTGTTTGATGGAATTGGCTGGGAGGCTTCACAAGGAGGAAAAAGTGTAGAGAATGTCAACCATATGGCCTGGACAGTGGAGAAGCTAACAGAATGGAAAATTTCTCCCTCATGCTACATCAACCCATTCCCGAATAGTTCCTTTCAGCAGTGTTTCAAGTACCCTAAAGTTGTACTTTACAGTAAGTCTTGCTCATTTTGAGGGAAATCAGAATGATACTCTGTCTGATACTATTCTAAAAATGTATCTACTTTTTCTCCAGCATTCCCAGAAAACATCAGTCTCAGCTCCAGCAGTGGCCCACATATGGGGATGCCTGAAGGGAAGAAACATAACTTCACATGTGACATCCAGAATATAGCTCCTGTTATAAATCTCACCGTAAAGTGGTACAAAGGAGATGAAATGGTCTATGAAGACACTTTTAAAGATCCCAGTAAGGAACCAGTGGATCAGTCATCTATATTTAGCCTAATACCGACCAGACAAGACAACGGAGTAACATTCAGATGCGAGGCACACTTGGACCTCCGACCTGAAGGTCCACAACTAAATGCATCTTCACAAGAGTATAATATTAGAGTATTTTGTAAGTATATAATGCATACTCACTCACCAATCTGAAAGCCTATTTAAGTTATATAGGCTTTAAGAAAACTGTCAATTGTATTTTTTTGTATTGTGTATTATCTCCTTCAAGGTTTGTTTTTCTTCAGCCGGATTACAGAGACAGGCCTGATTTACATGAATACAGTTGGAAGGGTGTAGCAAGGGTTAATAAAGAGCCCATTACATTATTGTTAAATAATTCAAATGTCCTTTGAGAGGTCTTTAAAAATAAAAGGGCACTTGAAGAGCCAATGCTAGGTCAATAAAGCAATAATCAGATCAACAGACAATGTATAGGCAACTGTTTAAACTACTAATCCTGTCATTTGTCAAGAAGAAATAACAAACATTTGACCTGTTGGACTACAAGACACTTTGTGATGTCACCTTGAGCTGTAGCAATTTGTGATTTTTCCCTTTTTAAATTTTACACACAAAAAATTATTCAACAAAAGAATGACTAGATTAATCAAAAAGTAATATAATCACAAGTTACAGCCCTGAGTTATCTTACATGCATGTCTAAAAGGAGAAGTGTCATTTAAGCCTAAAATGATGTTTCTCTGTTAAATAAAAGTACAATAGTATACATTCTTGTTGTTTTAGTTGGACCAGAGGTTCAATGCGCTGCTGTACTGGAAGGAGAAACATTGGAAAGAAGATGCTCTGTAACGGGATATCCTATACCGACGGTCACATGGTTGAAAAATGGAACATCCATAGAACCGACCGAGCCTTTGAGCAGGGAGAACGCAGGCATGTACGACGCTGTAGCTGAAGGCGCTAATTCAACCACAACGCAACACCGGATTGAGGTGTGGTGTGAGTATTACAGTCATCAGCACTAACAGCAACCAGATGAGCATAAAGACAATATTATTAGTGATGGGGTTACTGTATATTTACAACATTTTGCACATATATTTTACACAGATTCTGGGTTCTGCTTTTCCTGTTGTCAGGATTGTTCTTTTAATCTGTAGTAGTGTTTTACTTAAGTTTAAAAAGCAATACTAGTATAAAAATGATTCTACTGCAAGTGTCAAGGCTTCAAGTAACAGTAAATACATCTGTTCATCTTAATATACTTAGGTATAAAACTCAAGTACTTTTCATGCAGAATGCCCAACTTGTTACATTATTATATTTGTTGGTTACTATTACATATCCCTTAAAGTGTAAATAGACTTTTACTTTTTACGGCGGTCAAACAACTCAACACACCGACAAGATTCAAATAAGAACAGATGAAAACTTTACAAAACTTTAAACTGCATGGAAAGTAATTCACATAAAAGTATGTTTATATAAATGTCTGATAAATGTAGTGAACTATGAACACCACTTGCTAGCTGTTGTAGTGTCAATCCACTGTATACTAAAGAACAAGTGTTTTTGTTACCAGATAAACCAGAGTTGAAGTGTCCGAGCAATTACACTGCACTGGAGGACGCTCCTCACAACCTTTCATGCACTGTTGAGGGCTTTCCTAAAGCTGAGGTTTTGTGGTTTAAAGATGAAGACGAGGTGGCCCTTCCAGAAAGCTTGACAAGAAGTGATACAGGGCAGTATGTGATCACAGCTTCAAACAATCTGTCAAGTATCAACGTCACAGTGGAGATAAATGTCGTATGTAAGTTATTCTGATGAAAATCCTCAATATTTACTTTTCGTTTGAGTGTTTTTCTCTATTATGACTTATATTGTTTCACTGTTGTCTGTAGACCCACCATCCCAGATAGTCGAGCTTGAAGACTCAGAAGTTGATGTTGGTTCCGATGTGTGGTTGAAGTGCTCCTCAACGGGCAACCCACGACCAAACTATCTCTGGGATTATTATCAGACTGCCAATGTGGTGGAGGAAAATGAAGATGGAGTGTCCCGTCTGCACATCCATAACGCTACTGTATACAACAAGGGCTCCTACACATGTCACGCCAGGAATGACAGAGGAAATGTCTCTAAAACAGCCACAGTCACAGTAAAAGGTAGGGTCAATATTATGTCACAGTATCAGATTTCCCCTATGTGATTATGATGCCAAAATAATTCCCCAAAAATATATATTGGCCATATCTACGGAATTGTTCAAAAACTAAAATTCTGTCGGTCTAATTCATTTTTAACATTATTGTGTGTTTCTTGTCTTTTTGACAAATATAACAATAATTTGTTAAGGGAAGGGAAACAAAGAAAGAACAGAAATAAATAGCCTTTAATAGGAGGCTCTGAATTATTTGCACAATAAAAAGAATGCTGCTGAATAGGCGAATATAATAAGTTGTTTTTTTTAGCCATGACTTCAAAGACCTTAAATTACAAACCAGTACACCACAAACATTTATTTTAAAGGAGAACATCATGAAATAAACATGGGATAACACCGATCAGTGCTGCATGTTCTCACCAGTTGGCACATCACTAGAAATAATGTATAAAACAAGTTGAAGTTGATTACAAGTTCACAGTACAAAACCACTTGAACTCACCATGCAGACAGATTAGCTGAGCGAACACAAGGCAATAGGGGCATTCCCAGTTCATGTTGGGAGGGTCCTCTTTAAAGCTACCAAGAGGAAGGAACTCCATTATCGCTGCATAACTTGTCCCCCTGTCAATCACAATGCAACAGCAGCACCTATCCTCCTTGATTTTTGAAGGCTACAATAGCTTGTTGGCTATCTTGTTATTGAGGCGGCTGTGTTGCTCAGTTTGCTGTTTGTTGAAGCTCAAAATATTGACATACAATAGATTTTCAATACTAACAGAGGGAGGGCAGAGATAAAAAAAAGCCATTGCTTAAAATCTATTAAGCACCACAAACTTAGATAGTACTTATTGAGCACTGCATGCAGGCACTGTATTTTCACATTTGAAGACCGAGGAAAGTTGAGGATTTATCCAGTTCAGTACAACAGCCTTTGGACTTGAAATGTTGCTGTGATTATGGGATTTCCGTATGTCGATCTCCTTCATCCAGCCCTTAGGCACTTGACGGCGGCCTTCACTACCACTAGCTCTGCCACTAGCTCTCCTGTCTGACTGGTATTACAAAAAGAGACTCTGGATAAATAAATATTTCTAAAACTTAAGCACATTTTGTTTTAACACACTTAATTTAGTTGGGGAACAGAATCTCATTTTGTAATGTGTACAATTAATATTTATTGTCTTAAACCTATTGTCAATGTAAGCCTTTACGACATATTATTTACCAAACACTTTTAATTGAACCCAATGAACTCTAAAGGGACTCATTTGGATACATTCACCACTTTTATAACCATATTTTGATCATAATGCTAAAACAAGCTATCGCCTCACTGTAGCCAACTGGCACCGCTCATAGTTACATTTACAGACAGCGTGGGTGTGAGGGCTTGCAGTGTGTGTGTGTGTGTGTGTGTGTGTGTGTGTGTGTGTGTGTGTGTGTGTGTGTGTGTGTGTGTGTGTGTGTGTGTGTGTGTGTGTGTGTGTGTGTGCGTGCCCATGGCTGGGGGAGGGCTGTTTCCCATGGCTGTTTCCCAATTTCCTCTGCCGTGATGTAGAGCTGGGAGCAGTGCCTACAACCATAGCTTAGCTTAGCTTTCTTCCAAAAAGTCAACAAGTAGCCTCCGGCTGGTCCCATGTAGCTGAGGGGAAGCAAGATAAACCGCAGAGGCGCTCAGTCTAACGGAAGAGGGTCGACCACAGCTGGAGAAACTTTATTCTAATGGAAGATTTAAACTTTCTTCGTCTACTTTCAGTCCTCTTGGCATTAGAGCTGCTGTCGCTTTCTAACGGGACACCGAGTAAGTTGAGAGTGAAGTTATAGACCTCATGTTTTCTTTTGTGTCGACTCGAGATTAAAGTGGCTCCATTAGGCTGGTAGATTTATAAGGAACGAAACGCGGGATTGTATTGGTCTATTTATGTAGAGTGCTGACTGCTGAGTGATGAGGAGCTAATTTAAAGCAACAGTAAGTTTTAGCTAGTTAAAAAGAGACGGGCTATTCAGATGTTGTTGTTATGTAGTAATTTCATGTGCTTTGAAAGGGAACACATAATAATTGTGTGTGTTTGTGTGAAGGATTATGGAAAAACAAGTGCTTTAGGGGTGTAATAATTAGTTATTATGAGTATGACCTTTTGTCCATCTAATCTAATGTATCAAGCCTCCTCTCACATCCTGTGTATATTACAGTTAGTTGATAACATTGTATTTTCTATTTAGATTACAGTGAATTGCAAATGGGATTTGGGAATTTGACGCATATATCTTGAGATAATGATATAACGTTAAAGTCCAACATAAAGAATGGAGGAAAGCAAATGTAGACCGTTCCTATGGGAGGGGGGTATATCCTTCCTGAGCCTTTTCCTGTTTCCTCCTGAGACCCAGCTTTTGTTCGTGAGTCATTCCACAACATTTCTACTCTACCCTTGATGAGGAAATGTTGTGTTAAGATAATGGATGTGTGTAGACTTTGAATAACATTTCATGCCCCTTCTACTTTCCTCAGGTGCCTGGCAAGAATGCCCCATCGTAATAACTCCGGAGAGGATGGTGGTACAATACCAAGACAGAGAGCAACTTGCGACATGCAATGCAACATCAACCGACCACCCTCACTTGAAAGAAATCTCCTGGCAGGTTCTGCATGGTGTCAAAATTGACAGCTCGAGTTGGTCTGTTGACACCCATAAAGACTGGGACCCAAAGCCTGTTTGTACTGCAATATTTGATGTACAAGGAACATGCCAGAAACATTTAAACTTCACCCTCTACAGTATGTATTTCTAACTTTTGGACTTTAATTTTCATCAACCTTTAACATGTTTCTAAAATGTCGGAAGAATCCTGATTTAAAAGTGCGATTTCCTCTCTTCAGAAACACCAGACAGTGTCTCCGTTTCTACTGTGAATAACTTGAGCTCAGTGGTGGAGGACAAGGAGTTCCAGCTGCAGTGTGACATTACCAACGTTGCTCCTGCAGGGAACCTCGTCGTGCAGTGGTACAGAGGGAATAAAACCTTATCAAAAGGTGAGGAATGCTCTTAGGACTGTTCACCCCAAAATCAAAATCTTACCAATTAGGGTTATGTATTAATCTAGATTGTTTGGGTGTTATTTACAGAGTGTTAGAGATATTGGTACTCAGCGCCCGTAAATATATCTTTGAAAATCTCAAGACATGACTTCCCTAAAATGACCCAGTTACTCAAGATAATCCACAGATCTTGTTCCGAAAGTGTTTCATGTAGGAACTGTTTTTTTCTACTGAACTACTCCCACAAACCGTATAACCATGCTAAAACAATTGATACATACTCATGGATGAGAGATGTAAACATTATTGCGTATTTTTCTGCTTAACTCTTGCGTAAGTTAACACAGGTCAGCCATGAGTAGGTATTTTCTTCCTTCTGCGCTGTTCCTACATATACTTCTCACAACAAGGGATGGTGGGCAATCTAGATTGATAAATAGCATTACAGGTGTTACGGCCTGGCTCATAGGCTGCAACAAAGATGGGAGACCAGACAAGTTAAGTGTAACAAAAGCATATTTATTTACAATACCACAAAAACCAAAGGTCTTCTAAGAAACCTAATAAATGTGGAAGTCAGTTATCAGTAATGATTGCGTGTATGGGTGTGTGAAAATGTGAAGAAACGAAGACGCGGCCGTGTCCAACAGAAGAGTGAGAGGGCAGTATGGGTTGGTGTTGCCCTTTTATGTAGACGGCCCAGGTGTGGCTCATCAGGTTGATCACCTGAAACACAAACAAGAGCCAGGCAGCAGAACACAACAACAGAGACCTCTAGTGGAGTGGAGGGGGGGGGTCGTAACAACAGGTCGGGTCTGTCATTAGCCCGCATGGTTTTTCATACCACTGCTACGCTGACGACACCCAACTAATTCTGTCCTTTCCCCGCTCAGCAAAAACTTGTGGGTTTGCTATCCAGGCTCCAAAATGGTGGAATGAGCTCCCCATTGAAATCAGGACAGCAGATAGCTTGCACATCTGCCGGCGCACACTGAAAACTCATCTCTTTCGACTCCACTTCGAGCAATAGAATTACTA